CGAACCTCTGAACCACTTTACAAGTAGGTTCAGTTCTAGGTTATGGGAATCTAAGACCTTTTTCACTGTCTGGAGAAGGCTGAAAAGCATTTACAGTATTGGCTATACCGAGAATTAGACTGATCGCAGAACTCCCAGAATCACATTGAAGCTTATACCAACTACTAAATTACTTCTGAGAGTGGCTTAGCGTCCTAGACATCTTGTCCACAACACAAATTTAGATTGGATGTTCCTGAGACTAACAGAGCATCACCTATTCTTTCACATATATTTGAGAAAGATTTTGTTTATATTTCAGCATCACCATAAAGAAAGGAAATTTGGTTAAATCATTTTAGGAAACAATCTGGTAAAACAAATTCCATGTTCACACTTTAACCTAATAATTCTACTTCTAGAATCTATACTTGGGAATTAAGAAATGGAATCAAAAGTTTATATAGAAATATGTATCATTACAGCATTACTTTAAATAGCTAGAACTGTAATCAGCCTGACATTTCCCCAAACATAGGAAAGATTAAATAAATCACAGTCCTATCAATATGGACTGTAATGACATGGAAAAATGTTTACAATATAAAGGTACCTGAAAAAAAGTGCATTTAAAATTGCATATGTAACATAATTCCAACATCATTAATATACATATATATGGAAAACATAAAACAGGAATCACAGGTAATTTTATACATCTGGATTATGGGATTTGTGGGGGTTTTTTCATATCTTCATGTATTTTCCCAGCTATCTACAATAAGCATATTTATTTTCAATACAGAAAGTTTTTTTTAAGTTACTATGGATAATACTTTTCAGATTGAGCAGAAAATATTGTTCCTTTTCAAATAAAAATGTATGTATTAGAAAAAGAAAAAATGAAAATCTAAAAAACATCTAATAAATAGTATATGCACAGACTTTTTAATAGGCTAGTTTTTAATGCATATTTTCAAGTATGTCAGAATATATTAAGCTCATTATTCATTTGTTTTCTAATTCACATATATAAATTAACCAATCTCAAAAAGCTCCTTGGTTCTGTGAATTATTGATGTTGTCACCTGCTACAGACTTAATTCCAAGAAAAATATACGAATCACTACATCACAAGCACAAATCCTTTTGACACAAATTCAATTTCTGTGGCAACAATAATATATTGACTTTGCTTTATTTTTCTACTTTATGACACTTATTAATGGCAGAGTTAAAAGAAATCTATCATTTTTCTTTATTGTAAATGTAAATGATATCATGCCACCTTGAGAAAGTTAGGGTAAATACCACTTACTAGATAATTCCTTAATGTAAATAAGGTCAAGATGCTGAAATATAAGAAATAAAATAAAAGATTAAGATTTTAAGCAAGACATAGTCTCATAATTCTACTAGAATCATAATTTTTTTCTACTAGACAATATAATTAGGCCAACAACATGTGTGAGACACATTAAATATGAAGACCCAGTCTCTCCCCGTATGAGCTTATAACTAAAAAAACAAGATAAACCAATAACCAAAATGCATCATAACAAGGTATTCAATGGTGATTGGAAGAAAAGGCGGAGTCTCCACCTGCTAATCACATATGCTTAAATGCATGCTAATTAAGAGGCAAGCATTATAGCAACGATCTAAAACTAAAGGCAAATAAAATTTTATCCATAATTCAGGTAAAACTTGGAATGTAGAATTTGCTTTTCTAACAGAATGAGAGATTCCTAAAACAATCATTCATGCAACAACTGTTAATTAAATATTGTTATATTCTTGACAAGGGAGAGATCAATAAATAAAACAAAAATTTTTGCCCTAAAGGAACTTATCTTTATTGGGGAAACAGACAATAAGCAAATTACTTATTTAAGATGTTAGAAGGTGATGAATGCTCTGATAAAAATAAAAAGTAGTGTAAGCCAAGAGGGTTTGCAGGTTGCAATTTTAAACATGGGGAACTGAGGAAGGCATAGGCCTCATTGACAAAGTGGTGTTTGAGCAAAGTTGCCAGTGGGCTAAGGTGTGGATGGGCAGGGGAGCGTTTCCAACAGAAAGAACAGCCATAACAAGGCTGTCAGGAGGAGTATGCCTGATGTTCAAGAAACAAGAGAGCTTGCTGGCTCCAACAGCACAAAATGAAGTCAGTGAGAGGGAAGGAGGCAGATCAGTCCCAGACCATTTCAAAGACATGGGCTTTTACTTTTCTAACTGAATAATCACAAATATTTTTTAAGTATACAAATATAAGTAATCAACTTACACAGTAAATAATAATCAGATCAGCATATTATACAAATTACTGAAGGCAGGGAGGAAGGTCTGTACTCAAATAATCATTATTTACTTGAGGGCCCTTTAAGTGGCTTGGTTATGCTTCCACGAGTCATTTACCAGAAGGTATTAGAAATACTCTCAAAGCACTGTAAAGCCAATACAGGCAATTTTTGGAAAAACTCAGTTAATTCTATCAACTATTTTTTTTAATATGGAATTAGTCCAGGGGGTAGAGAGACCAGTAAAGCATGTCTAGAGAAAAGAAGGTAAGAAAAACAGTATTTACAACCATTTAAACATAAATCTGAGGACCCTTTGGAAGTTTGAGCACCAACCCGAAGGAGTCCCCCCAAGAGGTCTAAACTCAGATGGTAATGTGGTCCATACGTGTGTGAGTCCACGCAACAGGAACCCTTGCAGACAGCCCAGCACCAGCCATGGTTGCCCCTCCTACAGCACCTACGATCAGGGACTCTTTTCCTTCCTGCAGTTAATAATCTCTGATTTACCTCAGCATCTCCAATATGCCCTTTTCCTTTCTTTTTTTTTTTTTTTTTTTAAAGAGACAGGGTCTTGCTGTGTCGCTCAAGCTGGAATGCAATGGAGTGATCATAGCTCACTGCAGTCTCGAACTAGTGAGCTCAAGCAATCAGTCTCCCAAGTAGCTAGGATTACAGGAGCACACCACCATGCTCCACATTTTTTCTTTTTTTTTTTTTTTTGGTACAGACGGTAGTCCCACTACGTTGCCCAGACTGGTGTTGAACTTCTAGCCTCAAGTGATCCTTCTGCCTCAGCCTTCCAAAATGCTGGGATTACAGGTGTGAGCCATCTCATCCGGCCAGACTTTCTCTTTTAATACTTTCCTAAATAATCCCCACCTTAAACCAACCTACCTTGGTTTCTGTTTATTTCCGGGCCTTGACCAAGACACTACTGCAGTCCTCTCCCTCTCAATACCTGGCTCACCTTTCAAATGCTGCCTGATTCAGGAAGGTTCTCTAAGTTTACCCACATCAAGCATGCCTCTGGTGGGACTTTTACGTCCTGCCTTGTGCTGTGGCACAATAGAGCAGTACTGAGCAGAGGTGAACAGCCTGGGCTCTGGGATAAGACTCACCTGGATTAGAATCCAGCTCTGATACCAATCATCTGTGTGATCTTGGGCACTTAAACCCTCTGAGCCTGAATTTCTTAACTGTGCCATGAGGCAAACAAGCATCTTCCCCATAGGGTTGGTAGGAGACTTAATAGAAAAGGCCATAGTACACAAAATACTACACCTGAGGTTCAGAAACTTTGAGCTATGTTATTCTGCTCCCTTCACAGTAAGAGCCATATAGGCATCACCTGGGTTCAGCTCTTAATCATTCTCCCCAAGGATACTCCCAACAGTCTTCTCCTCTAGGGCCCTGTAACAAGTCTGTAATCCATCTGAATCCATTTTAAATGTGAACTGCCTCTCCTGTCGGCTTGATTTTTGTCATGGTCACTTTACCAGCAGCTCTGTTTTGCTGGCTGTCAGTTATGCTGGACTGCCCTCTGGGGCCTTTCACGTGTTGTCATATTTCTTTGGGGCTCAAATATGGGGGTTGAGAAATCTACGCAGTGGCGGTTTCCTAATGCCATCCCCAGAGCCAGCATGTTGCCAGGGCCTCAGGAGACTCACAGTCAGCTGGATGAATGAGATGTGAGGTAGACAGATCGAGTAGGTACTGCAGATAAAAATTTAGAGTAAGGGTGGATCAACTTTCATTATTATGGAGAAATGATCTCATTTCCATCCTCCCAAGGCCCTTTTGTTTACAATTCCGTCGGGTCTGTCTTGCAGTTTGTGTTTATACCTCCTCTTCTGTTTGCATGTGGCAGGTACTATGTTCCCCTCAACTTTGAATCCCCAGCCCTACCATGGTGCAGGGAACATTTTAGGCAGTGGTTATCAACCTGACTACATGTGAGAATCACCTGAAAGTTTGTTTTCTTTTCCCAATACAGATGCCTATGTAATATCCCAGGCCAAATGAATCAATACCCAAAGATGGAGCTGTGGGAGGATGGAAATGAGATCATTTCTCTATAATAATGAAGGTTGATCCACCCTTACTCTAAATTTTTATCTGCAGTACCTACTCGATCTGTCTACCTCACATCTCATTCATCCAGCTGACTGTGAGTCTCCTGAGGCCCTGGCAACATGCTGGCTCTGGGGATGGCATTAGGAAACTGCCACTGTGTAGATTTCTCAACCCCCATATTTGAGCCCCAAAGAAATATGACAACACGTGAAAGGCTGCCTGCCACGGATAATTTTAAAGATCCCCCAGGTAACTCTAATGTGCAACCAGGATACAAACGACTAAAACTAGGCAAACTATTTTAGACTCAGTCTTTCAGTATCAAGACTGTCATCAAGGAATCTCCAAAGATCCCCACATGTAAACAAGGTAGACGCATATGAGTGTATCTGCCTCCTGCACACCATCTCTTCTCTGAGAATGCCTGTGCCATTGAGGTAGGCTCACCAGTCTTCACTGTTCCTTGTAAGCCAGCCCTGGCCACAGCTAAACACAAGACAGAATATAAACCCAAGCAGAGCCAATCAAATCTCCATTTTCCCAGAATTCTGGAATTGGAATTCAGAGATGAAAATCAGGCTCTACTCTTGCATGCACCAAGGACATATATGTCTATCTGGAATTATGAGGTTCTAGGCTTGGCTGTGTGAAGATCAAAGCAGTGGAAACCACAAAATGCAGAGAACCAACAGTGGAGCCATGCCTAGTGAGAAGCAAAGAGACGCTGGATGGCCTGAGAAAGGGAGAGAGAATGAGAAAAGCTGTCAGCTTTTAGTTCCTGGTTCCAGTCCTTCATGAGGGCCAGCTTGATTCCAGGTGCTAGTCTTACGTATCTTTACAATTCCTCCTTTCAGGATTAAAGTAGATATTGTATAGGGATCTGTTCCTTTAGACCTTTAACTGAGCCTTTGAGACAAAACCCAAAATTGCTAAATGGGTCCCTAAGTACCCATATGATATAGCCCACTTTATCACTACTACTACAACTTACTGGGTACTTCGCAATTACTAGTATACCCAGCAACCCTAAACATTTACTATTATCCCCATCTTAGCGAACAGGAAATTGAATAGCACAGAAGTGACTTATAAGGCTTGGTGAGTGCCTAGGCTGGGAATGAGTCAAAAATCCAGCCTCATTCTCCTTCCTTTCCCTCAGTCCCCAAAACTATGATGGGACAGCCAGCTGCTGAAGCAGTTTCTGAATTATTTATGAAGCAAAGAATTCAAAAATGAAATCTCAACAAGAAAAAAGAGCATAATTCCAATTGGATGATTACTAAATGATAACAACAACACTGACTACAAAACCATATCTTAAAACCTCAGAGATAAATGGGCATAGAGGGGGGTTGCAATTCTGTCAATCGACTAACACTAATAAGAACACATGATTTGCTAGGGTGTTTCCTCTCTTTTTTTTTAAGTTGCTCTCAAATATATAATAGAAATGAAAAGCTTTTTTATTTCTCATTTATAGATTTTTAAAGCCATGGTATATATGACAAACCTTATAAACCATACCCTCCCAATTCAGACTGAAGCATAAGCCAAAACTATCCACGTTCCAACATGTCGCTAAAAAATGCTTCTCAGGAATTATAATACAACAGCTAAAGAAAATTTAATTTCTTAAATCATTGATAACGGTGGAACTTTTTCTAAATAACTGAATTACCATTAAGTTTTCTTGCATAATTTAATACTACTTTTTATTATACCCTAAAAATTGTTTTATCTCTTAAAAGGAATCAAAAAGATGATTACATATTTATAAAATTAGCATCTGAAAAATGAAGAGCACAATTCCAGATTTTACACGCAGTTCCAGTACCATGCATAAGATGTAGGTTACATTTTACATTTCTTTCAGAAATATTAACCGAACAGGATATAGTTACTGCACATCTAAGTTACCAGGCCACCAGGTGAGGGCTGGG